CAGCTGAGATGCCTGGCACCACCATAAGCAATATCCCCTTTGTCCGTGAGAGGAGGAGGAGGATTACAGAGAAAGCCAGTTTGTCAGAGCAGACAGCCCACTTGATCTGGTAAGGGGATGTTTTTTGTCATGTGGCAATCCGAAGTCCATGGCATTCAGATAGATAAGGGAAGAAACTTAATAACCTCTTGCGAGACCGTAAAGTTTCCCCTCTGTGTTTGTATGGTGAAGAACCACGAGGCAGAGGGGGAGGTGGCAGTTCTTTTTGACCTCTCTTAAGGCCGCCCTCGCCTTTGGCAGCGGGGATCGAGTTAGTGAATGGTCCTGATACTGAATGGGACGACAGCCCCTTTGGAGGCTTCCCCTCATAAGAATGCCCTCTCTCCCCCACTCTCCCCCACTGCTCCAGGTAGCAGTGTTGCCAGACACCTACTTTCAACAGCTTGGGAAGGAAAGGCGAGGTTCTTCTGGTCACGCTCTCCCTTCCTATGCAGTGTGCTGACTGCTCGCTGCTTTATTCCCCCAGGGACTAATTCCCAAAGAAGGTGATGGAACTTTGGAGGACTCCTGGATCTCTACCGTGGAAAAGGAGAGCTGAAGCTGCTGTGTTGCTAGCATGGTATCTGTTTGTGCTTTTCTGGTACGGCCTTGCTGGGTGGGTACCCAGAGGCAGGGATGCTGTAACATACTGCAGTGATTTTTTTTCTGCATGAGCGGTGGGGCTTCTCCATCTTCCAAACCCCAGCATGCCTGTATGTTTTGACAGCGGTTTGCCTGAAAAGAAATGGCAGCAAAGTTTTGCTCTTCCCCCCTTTGAGGGGAAGCTACAGGCTCACTTCAGTGCCTGAGGCGCTGGTACCTGGTTTCGGAGGGGCTGGAGGGCAGGGCAGGCTGGAGGTGGTCACAGGGAGCGTTGGGCGGGAGCATTGTGCCTCCCCCTTGCAGCAGGTACATGGAGAGAACCAAAGTGTGCACTGCCCAGTTCTGGGGGGGCTTTGCTAGCGGGGCAAGCGCCGTCCTGGATCTGAGTCACAGTTTTTCATCTTCACTTCCTGTGGTTTCTCCGCAGAGCGAGGCGGGAGCGCTGCGCGCTGTTGTCGTGCAGGCCAGTTTGCTCTGGTGTCAAAGCTCTACGCGGAGGAGCTCTGCAGTGACCTCGTCGATGTGAGGGCTCTTTGGGGAGGCTGATGTGCTCTTCTGCAGGTTTGGCATGAGAGGCGGCCATCTGAGCTCTGGTAAGTTAACTTTCTAACTGAAGTTATTCTGAGTTTTTACAGGGCAGAAAACGCGCTGCGCGCTGTTGTCGTGCAGGGCAGTTTGCTCTGGTGTCAAAGCTCTACGCGGAGGAGCTCTGCAGTGACCTCGTCGATGTGAGGGCTCTTTGGGGAGGCTGATGTGCTCTTCTGCAGGTTTGGCATGAGAGGCGGCCATCTGAGCTCTGGTAAGTTAACTTTCTAACTAAAGTTATTCTGAGTTTTTACAGGGCAGAAAACCACACACTAACGCTGCTCGGGTGTTAATCAAGCTGACTGCTGCTGCGGGCTCAGGTATTGCGGCTTTTTAAAATTTTTTTTAAATAGTCACAGTGCAAAAATACCTGCTATTGGCATTTCTGCAAATGTTTCCCAACTTCTGGTTGCAATAAAAACCTATCGCACTTCTGGGCTCGTTACCAAACCTGGTAACTGAGTGACCCAGGTTCAGCCATCCAGGCAGTACGCGGGAAGTAGACCGGCTGACTGCAGACAGCACAGAGCTGCTGTGGGTTTTGCTTTTCAAACCCCAGAGCAACTGTTACAAATAACCTAAAGACATTTAATTAAATGTTCCTTTAGCATCATAAAATACACCGTCAGAACTTTGGTGCAAGCTCCTAGTCTGAATCGGTTTTTGGTGTCCGTCATTAACGCTCGTTACTTTTATCACGGAGGAGTTTAGCGTTCTTTTCCTTTTTGTGTTGTGCCATCACTGGTTCTCTTCAGTCGATTCAATCTGGACATCCAGGCCGTGGGGCGATCTGTCTGACAGTGATGCCTGAAAACTAAAACCATAAATCCCTCACACTTGAGCAGACGTCAAAGACTCAATCTTGGGTTTATATGAAAACATTTCTAATAATTTAATGAACTGAAAATCCAGGGGAAACTTTGATGTATGCTTTTGGTGGTTTTGTAAATCACGTAACTTTGTACACAAAAAGAAGTTCAGTGGTGCTCTTCGGTTGTTTGGGAGAAGTAACAGCCCTACTCCCCAAAAACCCTGACAAAGCAAAGCTGAATTTGATGAGACTCCACACTTTTTAAATGGTAGATAAGCAAATGGTATGTTGTTATAAGAAGTGGCTGTAGACTTGGAAAATACATGTTTAGTCATAAATTCTGTCGCTTCTGGTACCTCTCACAGTGAATGAAAATATTTTCTAACAGATTGATGTGCGTGGTGGGGTCGTGCAGTGCCTATGCAACTGTTTGGAACTGGCTAGAAGACCGGCTTGTAAAAGGCTTGTGAAGTACTCCCTGTCAGTGGTTTATTATCCCCCTCTTCCCTCCACCCAGATGGGGAGGGGTTCAGGGGATTAAGTGAGACTACAGGCGCTGAAAGCAGATTCCAGCAGTGCAGTACCATGGTGCAAGCAGCTTCTCTGCTTTGGTAAGGCCTTGTGGCCGTCCCGTACCGCCGGGATCCAAGTGGCGCCGCCTTTAGGCAGCCCTTTAGCCAGGCTCGCTTTGCCATCTCGCAGCAGGCGGTCAGCATTAACGCGTACAGGGACTCCTGCTGTGTCGAGCTGCTACAGAATCTTGGGACAATGTCTGTGCTGTTTAGAAAATTCCTTTTGTTTGCCTCGGAGCTGTTAACCTGAGTGTCCACAGGCACCCTTACTGTGAGCAGCTGATCAGTCCCCCTCGCCCTCCGGCCCCTTGAATGATTTTACAGCCTTACCTTCCCCCAGCTGCAACGCTGTACTTTGAACATGGGTAATAGAGGTGCTGGGTGGCTCTTGCTCTGGCAAAACCCTGAGCTAAAGGTGGTTTCAAGTCCTGTGCTGCTGAAAGCCATAGCCATGCCTGGGTTTGTATTAGTTTTCCTCCGTGTGTGTGCACGAACCCTTTGCTATTAGTTGAAGGACCCGTGTAAGCAGGTACGCATGCTTGCCTACTTAAACTGAAACCATTTCTTTCCTTTCTAATCCCCCAGCTATCTCGGGTGCTTTTGACTTCATTAAATAAACAACCCTTGGGAGGAAGTGTGATTTCAGAGTTTCCTTTGGAAAGTACCCAACAACCTTTGTATTTTTGTGCTTTCATTGGTTCAGCTTTAGGAATGTTGTGCGTATTGTAGCCGGGTTTAATTTCTCCACTGCCTTTAAGGGCTTCTTTTCAGGTGTCTGTGTTTGCCTTAGGTACTCAGTTTTCTCTTATATTGGATGGAGAGGAACTGAAGTGCAGTTTATTGCTTACGTGGTGCGGTGATGCAGATGAGGAACAGTGCCTCCTTCCCTGCACACACACGAGTCCTTTGGGCTCCCTTTGTAACCGAGGTGAGCAGTGATTTCCCTCTGCAGTCTGCCTGCAGAGCAGGGTTAGGGTGCTGTAAATTCACCCAAGAGCTTACACCGAGCCTTCCCACTTGTAACTAACTTCAGCTAAGGTATAGAGGTCAGGGTGAGAAGGATGGAAACCCCTGTTTCTCTCGGGTGGTCTGCATGCACATCATCAGGTCTGCGGGTGACCCCGGGCTGTATCTTGTACTACGCACGCTCCTGCAAACGCGTGTTTGTTCCAAGGGGCCTGGCACAGCTCTCCTGAAGTGCTGAACCCTGTTGCGGTGGTCGTCTGTGCTGCTGACGATCCACCCGGCGCCGCTCCGAGGCGGGGCTGGGGATGGTGCTTTGTGATTTGGTTAATGGCTTGGCATGGATGCCAGCTACCTGTTTCAGTTCTGTGCTTTAAACACCATTTCTTCATTTAGACTAGATATAAGGAAGAAATTCTTTCCAGTGAGGGTGGTGAAACCCTGGCAGGGGTTGCCCAGAGAGGGGGTGGAGGCCCCATCCCTGGGAACATTCCAGGCCAGGTTGGACGGGGCTGTGAGCAACCTGATGTGGTTAAAGGTGTCCCTGCTCCTGCAGGGGGGTTGAGTTGGGTGACCTCTGGGGGTCCCTTCCAGCCCAAAACATTCTGTGATTCTATGATTTGAACAGGAAGGTTCCACACGTGCTCTTTAGAAAGCAGCAAGGTTAAAAGAGTTCAGTTGTAGAGTCAAACCTCGCACTGGGGCAACAGAAAACGCAGTCCTGCCTGTGTTTTTGCCACTGCTGCTTTTCTTTTTTCCTGGGAAGCCTGCACAATCCATCACTGCTGTTTTTTTTTTTAAGGACAGGGTAATAATATCATACAGGCATCTCCCAGAGATGACACAAGAATTCCAGTAGGGCCTAGGAATGGGAAATTAATTCCAGGACCTCCAAAGGTCTGTTGCTGCTGAGTTTCTCCTGTTCTGCTTCAGTTGCTGGCCCACCCTTAGCCAAAGCTGTAGCCTTCTACCTGTCTTTTTTTTATTTATTTTTTGGGTGGGAGGGGGCAGGGGGAGGAGTTTGCTACCTCTGTTAATTCAGTATTGTCACCTTGTGATGATCCTAATGGTGGTGAATAATTTGTCTGCTGTGTAAACTTCAAATGCTTGTGTATTAAATGATTTATTAAATGATTTATTAAATGATTTATTAAATGATTTATTAAATGATTTATTAAATGATTTATTAAATGATTTATTAAATCATTTATTAAATCATTTATTAAATCATTTATTAAATCATTTGTTCTCTTTTACAGCAGCACCGCTTGCCATCTAAATTTACCAAGCACAGACCTTTGGACCACGGACTTCACCAGACTTGACATGGCTCGGCTGTGTAGCTTTAGCTCTTGCTGACCTGAGACGAAATAAAACTCAAGAACCCCCGGAGGTAAGGGACTGCTTAAGACTTTCATTCCATGTGGGATCTCCCTACGCTCCGGCAATCATGGCAAATATTTCCTGGACTGAAGGAGCCTCCAATGGGAGAGTTGCCAATGCCAGTTCGGAATTACACTTGGAAGCAGACTTCCAGTATTCCTTGTTTACCGTCATCTACAGCATTGTCTTCGTGCTGGGACTGATAGAAAATGCCTTGGCTCTGTACCTCCTGTCCTGCAGAGTTAAGCACATGTCTCACTCCTATGTGTACATGATCAACCTAGCTCTGGCAGACACCTTGTTTGTTTGTGTGTTGCCTTTTAAAATTCATTACCACCTGAATCGGAACAACTGGATCTTTGGGGACATGGTTTGTAGGATCACTGGGACTTGGTACTACATCAACATCTGCTTAAGCATTGCCTTTTTCACCTGCATTTGTGTCGATCGTTACATTGCGGTGTTGCACCCCTTCACGTACATCCAGATCCGAGCCACCCATTACGTGGTGGTGGTCACAGTCCTTTGGGTGGGCGCTCTGAGTGTCATGGTTCCGCTTATCGTTGGAGGTCCCCTCCACAACAGCGGCACGAGGAACACGACAGCGTGTTTTGAGAACTTTGCCACGAGTAGCTGGACTTACCGCATGGCACCTTACAACATCCTGGCCTTAGTTTTTGGTTTTGTGATCCCATTTTCCATCATCCTGATCAGCTACCCTCTCATTGCGAAGAGGATCTCCCAGATCAAACACAGCATCCGCAAGAGGAAGGCCCTGAGCACCATCTACATCATCTTGGTCATTTGCACTTTGTGCTTTCTCCCGTATCATATCACGCATTTGCTCCACTTCTTAGTGAGAATCCAGGTCATCCAGAATGAGGCGTTTACCCGCTTGATCTACAAGATGCGCAGGGTCACCTTGGCCCTCGTGAGTGTCAACTGCTGCCTTAACCCGCTCTTGTACTACTTCACCTCTTCCAGCAAGCAGTGGCACTTCAACCTCAAGCTCAGGTTCAGGTCTAAAATTGTGTACACAATCTGTGACCAGAAATTCGGGGAGTCCTCCTACGTCTATAAACTACATCAGAGACACGGAAATAAAAAATACAGAGATGGAATCAACTGATCTACTTAAAGTAAGTATCAATTGTTGATTATTATTTAACTATTAAATTCATCCTTCCAACTCTTTCTTGAAAAACACACCTGTGAAACCTACCGTTCTTTCCTACAGTGGTTGTTACACCAAGGCAAGACTGGAGGGAAGCGCCCAACAGCTGCATTTTTATTACAGCTATGTATTTTTATTAATTATTTGATGTTTATCTAGGGCAGCACTCGGGGGAGCTGTATTCCCTGACAGGCCCAGGTGGCACATGGTGGTACGCGCTGTGTTCCCGTACATCGATGTTTTGGTCTCCTTTGGGTTAACGTTGGGGTTGGTAGGGGCACGCAGCACAGCCCAAAGCCGGCCTAAAGCTGAGCAGATCAGGGCAGCCCTGCTTGGCTTTTCCCTATTTTGGAGGGATCCCATGTTTTCTCCCTGGGGGCACGTGGAGCCAGCTGGCTTCACAAGCTGCTCGCTGCCCACATTCCACAGCCAAATAAGGGCTTCTCCTTCTCCTCCGGGCTGCTGAATCAATGGGGTGGGCTTCCTGAGGGGCACTTCGGCCCAGGCTGTCCAGCGCCGCGTGCCTATCGATTCAAGCTGGACATCTGTTAATGCCAGCTTGGAAGATAATCGAGCCAACTGTTTATCAGGGCTGGTGGTAAACACGTTCCTCTTGGCACACAGGTGCCGCGGGGCGTCGCTGAGGAGCTGGCACGACTCCTCAGGCTGTGCGGTCCTGTTCAAATGTCAACGCTCTCTTTTTCAGTCATCGTGTTTACATCACAAAACGTTCCTGACCTATTTCACGCCTTTGCTTGTGTTAACAGAACCACACAGATGCTGAGAACGGCTGAGTTTTCCACCCGGTGAAATGTGAGACCTCGGAGAGAATTTATCATTTGCGGGTTATCGGAGGCACCAGAAAACCACTGGCCTGGCTGAGAAACCTGCTCAGAAGCCAGCGGTTTACCGAACAGGATGTGATTTTTGCTAACAGAGCTGCAGCCTCGCTGTTCTGTACCTTCCCATGCTGACTCCAAACTTTATAAAGTGCGTGTAGGCTCTGGGCCTGCGGGTGTGAGACTGCTGAGCAGGTGACAACAGGAGGGAAGTTGTCACGGGGCTTGTTGAGCAGGGAACCGGCCGTGCCTGACGGCAGCAAGGTATGAAATCCGGATTTCCATTTCCAGAACACAGGCCTGAAAGTGGCGCTTTGACCTGGCACAGCTTGGGGGTCCCGGCGGGGCCGTGCTCTTGGACGTGGAACAGGAACTGCCAGGGACCTTAACGGCGGGAGGGAGCAGGATTATTGTGGCAGAATGGCGCGGGGAGATAAATATTGGTGTGCCTCTAAATGATGTCACTTCTCTTCGCATAGTGGAGGCTGCAGTTTCTGCCCCTATTCAGCCAATTTTCTGATGGCAGCTGATGTCAGAGTCTACTCTCTGGTTAAGGACAAAAGGTAAGAGGTTTGGAAAATCAGCAGCATGGATGTAGGGGAATGCTGGGGTCTTGACTTAGCAGAAAAACCCCACGCGTTACGACGGTGAGCAAGGGTCTTGAATGTGGGAGGCTGTACTGCCCAGTTACAGCCGATCAATAGCCCAGTTCAGCAGTCGGGGAGGTGCGCAACAAGCAACCCCGGAGCAGCTCCGAAATCACCGCAGCGCTAAAGCTCTGCAGCAGAGGGCTTGGGAGGGCGCAGCGTCACCCCTGGGAGAGGGGCCCGCCTTGACGTGAGGGCGCAGCATCCCCCCTGGGAGAGGGGCCCGCCTTGATGTGAGGGCGCAGCATCACCCCTGGGAGAGGGGCCCGCCTTGACGTGAGGGCGCAGCATCACCCCTGGGAGAGGGGCCCGCCTTGACTTGGTTATGGCTACGCTGTTCGAATCGTGCTGAGGGGGCGCCCGTTACTGACGACGGGTCAGCCGCTGACCTCGCCCTTTCTGCCTTTTGCTCTTAGCTTGGAGGAATTTTTAAAATATCAGTAAGGAAACCTCAAAGTTTTCTAAAATGTTGCCAATGATTCCTGTGCTCCTCTGCTCAGCTGGGCTTGGTAAGACATGGTGATGAGGAGAGCCTCTGAGGGAGCGCTAGGACAAATTAATCTTTTACCTTTCATGAGCTACTGCTACCTTTGTCTGTTTATAGGCTGTGGAAAAGCTTGCCAGCACTGGAGGGTCTGTTCCTTCCCCCTAAGCACAATTTTTAGCTTCTGGACAGAGGAATTAGAACTGTTGTTGGCGACTCCAGCCAGGAGTGCGTGGCGATGAGGAGAGCCTCTGAGGGAGCGTTAGGACAAATTAATCTTTTACCTTTCATGAGCTACTGCTACCTTTGTCCGTTTATAGGCTGTGGAAAAGCTTGCCAGCACTGGAGGGTCTGTTCCTTCCCCCTAAGCACAATTTTTAGCTTCTGGACAGAGGAATTAGAACTGTTGTTGGCGACTCCAGCCAGGAGTGCAGCTCACTTGCAGGCTTGTCAGCGGTCACGGAGGGAAGTACGGACAATAAAAGCTACGCTGCTGGGTAAACAGCACGTTTAGGGCTTTACGCTCCTGCCTCCATTGCGCTTTACTTTGCATTTTAATTGTGAAGCTTTGAAAGCTCCTTATTCTGACCCCCCGGGCTGGCGTTTACCTACCCCTGTTAGGATCAGGTGGGGCCGATCCCCCTTTACGGACGAGTCAGGGGCTGCCCCTGTTCACAAATCTGACCCCCGTGAGCTGCGCTGTGCCCTGCGCAGAGCCCAGGAGTGAGCTGAGTGCAGGAGCGGGGGTCGGTGCGCGGCCGTTTTGTTTGGGGGACAAACTGAAAGCCCTGATACTGCCCAGAAAATTACTGTAGTAGAGAATGGCCCTGCTGAGGCGTTAAGGGAAGGGAGCTGTGGGAGGGGCAGAAGGCTGAGTATCTTTTACCTTGCTGTGTAAGCGCCTCGAGGCTTGTTCCTCAGGACTCTGTCGTGACTCCTTGAGCAGGTTCCAGCGAGAGGTGGCAGTACGGCTGAATGGTAACACACTGTCACTGCAGGAACTGGAGAAACACTGTAACTCCTTTATTAAAACAAAACCAGAAAACAACGTGGACAATGTAAACAAAATAAAATCTAAATCTCTCTGAAACATCTGTGCCTGCTGCTCTGTTGCTCACGACGTGCTCTGTGGCAGTCCTTTCTTCAGAAGGGATGTGAGATAGCTGCCCAGCTCTTCATCCTAGAGAGAATGGAGAGAAACAGGATGAGAGCAATCTTCTACTTGGCTTTCCCACGGGGGGCAGTAAAGTTGACTCTCGTACCTAGAAATAGAAATAATTGTTGGACCCATCAAAATCTAGTGTTAGCAGTGTTCAGAAATGGAAACCAATCCAGGTAGCACGAAGGCGTTTCTGGGGGTTGTTTCAAAATAGCAGTGTAAAGGTTCCGTTTGTCAAAGGAGACGCCTCTCTCGAGGAAAATGACCATTTTTCTTGAAAGCAAAGAATCGATTTCAGGATTTCAAAGAATCAAAACCTTTGGGTTTCGGTGTGGTTTTGGTTGGATTTTTTTATTTGTCCTCAGGAAGACGTGTCTTTGCTGCAAAGAAAGCAGTTAGAAAACAGCCAGAGAAAGTACACTTTGGAAAGGAAGAACACGCGACCAGGTCTGATCTTGGCACAATTCTGTGTCGCGAGCTTTCTGCTTGTTGTTTCAAGTTTTACACTTAAGAAATACAACATCAAATACCTGCACGCGCTGTATGGCAGTAGTGATACAGCTGAGTTTAGAAGCTGGATGCTATAGTGTCCTCAAAACACAGACATAATTGCAATTAACTGTAATTGTATTAAGTGTAATTACTCCAGGTAGTTGCCTTGAGTTCGGTGGTCCCAGAGAAAACTGACTCAGTAGAGCTCCTGTAAAATGACTTGTACTAAACCTGAAATGGTCAAGCAAAGGGCGGTGACTCACCTTGTCTTCTTCCAAACTACTTAAAAAGCGACGAAGACTCACCCTTACGTCAGGAACCCCCACTGTAGGACGGGTTTGGACTGTAAGGAGTTAAGATCAGAGTTGCTTGAAAAGTACATCTTCAAGTATTCCTACCTGGTAAGTCCAGGACACGAGCAGAACTTTGGTTCCTTGATCCTCTGAGTGTGCTGTGGCTTGGATAAGAATGGACTCCACTGTTATAGAGCCATCGGGGAGATGCTGCACTGAATAATCCTTCAGGACCCTGGTAAGAGAAGAGACAGGATTTAGTTTGGATGGGACGTGTGTGCAAGCTGGAGGGTGGGTCCCCCTCTGTCTCTGCATTCCCAACACCAGCGTGGTGGTGTTACTTGTAGCTGTGTCTCTGAGCCAGCACCCACTGCCCAAGGAAAGGAGAATGGGGCTGATTCATAGCTTGCACATTTGGTGCTTATATTATGGCTAATGTAATACATGGTTGTAGGACTTCCTACAGAATTTATTTCTGGCTTTCACGATGGCTATAGCTCCAGCCTGAACCCTACTCATCTGAGCAAAGGACTACTCAGAATCGACCGGCTGCCTGTAGGAAGAAAGCAGCTTTTAAGGTTCATCTGCTGCTAAGCTTTGGGACAGCTTTGTTTGCTGTGATGGTCTCACTCCAGACAACTGTACAAACTTCAGCTAGAAGCAGTAGTGACAGCAGCAAGCCAGCAGGAACAAAGATTTCAGGTCCAGCTGGGCAAAGACCATGAGCTTGTAGGCTGACGCCCCGCCTCTGCTGCTGCAGCATAAGCACCGCTCTGGTCACAGTAGCTGCGTGGACTAAAATCGAGAGCAGTTCTGTCTCCTGGGCTGCAGAGAACGTTCTCTTAATGACTCTGGGGCTGGCTGGGATGGCCAGGAAGAGTGGGGGCACTTGTACTACCCGTATTAAGACTGGTAGGCTCAAGTCCATCCCTGGGGGGGAAAAACCAAGCGCAGGTAAGGCTGGACTTACCCTTTGAGATGGTTATACACACGAAGCACCGTCTCGTGTTCTTTTCGTGGATCCTGAATGTGAACGCGGCAGGTGAAACGCAGCTGATGTTCTGCAAGGCCCAGCTCCTTCAAAGCCTGCTCGGGAGAAACCAGACGGAAGCTCTGCAGAGGAAAAGTGCAAATACGTGATGAGTTACTGCTTTGCGCTTTCTGGGGTCAGCTGCACACAGGTATGTGTTCATCGCTGCAAACTCCGGCAGGTAAGACCATTCCTTTTCAATCTCTGACCTGTCTCGGCACATTTCAGTTACAACTGCAAGCAGTAACAGCTAGGCGTGAGGGTATGATGGACAGCACGGGCAGAGGTAAGATGGTGGCAAAACGTCCACTTAAATCATCATAGCAATTCTCCACTTCCCACAAGCGATGTTGGTTTAACCTCTTCGTCGGGGGAATGATTTGTTCAAATATAAACATGAGGTTACGGAGCAAGAACTCCTCCCTTGGCACCTTCCCATCCTTGTCCGACAACTGAGGTCTACCAGCAACACGCTGCTGCTTGAGTCTTTGGATTTTTACAGGCGCAGTGAATCAGAAACACCTTGGATTCACAGACTGAAACCCCCAGACACCTCAGACTGTAATTCTGCCTCCACAACACCCTGCTCATGAACAGCCAGACACTGATTCTGAAGTTGTGGGACTAGTGAAGACTCGGTCAGGACAACCGACAAGCTCAAGAGCCTGTCTTACAGCTTCACCTTCCCAGGTACGCTGTTTCTTCCCAAGAAACTAGGACTGCTGACCTTCATTTTAGTTCCTTGTTCACCTCACTTATGAATTATAACACCACACTCATTCAGAGGACACGAGACAAACATAAGAACTTTTTTACTTACGTTATCCTTCATAATTAACGTCCCGTGCATTAGCTTTGGCTTCTTGACATCTGGTAAGAGACCTAAACCAAGGCCGTCGGAAGAGAAAGATGAGACGGTTAACGATGATGTGCTTGCTTTTCACACAAGATGACTGCTATAGGACTTAATAGATTGGATTTCTGAGTCACTGCTGAGGTTCAGAGACTAAGACTTTACATCTTTCTTACCCTGTCTGTTAAAGTACATGGTGCTTAAACCGTTATCAGTGCTCTAGACATGTAAGAAACCACGCTGGGTAATACAGAACAACTGCCTCTCTTCCCCTATCACTCTCTGATTTGAGAGGTTTTATATTTTTCTTAAATTGGGTTTATAAAAGTAGTTTCAGTTTTCACAGACCTAGCTAGTAAAAGCATACACGGACCTTGTTTTCATAGTGAACGGGCAATGAGTAGCAAACAAGGTAGTGTGTGTGCGTGTGTTTTGGTTTCAAACATTATTGAATATAGATTCACAGCACGGTAGCGACTTCATGTCACAGGAAGCCCCCTCAACCACCAAATGCTCCTAAAACCCCTTCCTTTACAGGAAGCGCTGCTGTAAGTCAGCGTGGCTGTGAAGGGCCCTGCACCACTGCTTCCACCTAACACAAGGACCACACAACACGGTGGCAGGGCCCAAAAGATTCAATTCTTGGTTGAAAACGTGTCACCTATTGCTGTTTCTCTCTTCAGGAGTCCCAGGGATATGTCCACGGGAATGCTGGGATTGGTGAAGATCGTGGTGGTCTCTCCGTTTGCAGGCATGTAACAGTTGACATCTGCAACGAGAACAACCGACCTCAGGGCTGCTGCAGCAGCGTGTCGTCTCACCCGCAGGCAGCATGCAAGCATCCCTGCAGCCGACGGTGCTGTGATTTTGGCAGAAGCCTACTGCAGCTCTTGGGGACAAGAAGTGAAGTTAAATAGCAACCTGCTGAGAAGTAGAACTGCTGTAAAGCGAACAAGCTTCCCAGAACCATCAAACCCCAGTGGGGCAATACCTACTGCCTGCGCACCCACGCAAAGCAATCTGCAGACAGCAAGTGACCAGCCACGGTGAATGCTGCGCTTTCTGCGCTCGTCACTTGAGAGTCAGCTGTCTCCAAGGAATTAATTTCTTTTTTCTGGAGTTCATTCCCTGCTAGCAGCTGAAGTTGCTAACTTATAATTTCAGATGTACCTTGCCTGCCTCTGCTTCTTTTAGGAGTCTAAAGAAATACAAATTCACTAAGTGCTGAACTGTAACAATACAAACGTATCAAAATCACTTTTACTTCAAGTCCAAATGGGCATTAAAATTAAATGGGCCTAACATGTTAAGTAAGAGATGTTATGGACACTAGTTTCTTGAGGATGACTGCTCCTGTAAATTCCACTAACTATGCTGAGGTCCGGTGGATTATGTGAACTTTAACGCCTTCCTTCTACCACCATTCCCTCTTCAGTACCAACACGATACGTACGGAATTCCTGTTCTATTTTCTGCTTCAGAAACTCCATTTTCTTTGCTTCACCGTGGACCAGGAGAACATTCCGTGGCTCAGCCTGGCGAATCAGCTGCATTATTCCCTTGGCATCCGCGTGGGCACTGAAGGACATGTACTCTACCTGCATCTTTACTTCCAACTGGGGGGAGCAGAAAACACAGGCTTTGTGAATCAGGAACTGCTTTGGCTCTCTACAGCCTGTGTATCGCACACAAAGAGACCCGGACCCCTCTGTATTTAGTTTGAAGGAGGAATCACAACACCGGGTCTGGAAAATGAGGCTGGAGAGAAAGCTGCTCAGCAGCAGAGACTGAGTATGGTGCTGTACAGAAAAGCTCTCGATAACTACTTAAATAGCTTCAAATAACTGCAATAAGCTTCAAATAACTGCAATAAGCTTCAAATAACTGCAATAAGCTTCAAACTGCTCAATTTCAGAGCAGAATACTTGTCTCACATTTGCCAAAACAAGTCAATACTTAAGGGCAGTTGGTATCAGTTTTAATATCCCCACCCACCTAAAAAAAAGCCTAAAAATGTATCTTTTTACCCATCTGACTAATGTGCCTAGTTATTAAATACTATAAATGTGTCCCCAACAAAGTCTTATGGCAGAAAAAGACACACTGTTGCCAGTGCAAAGGGAAAAAAAAAAAAACCTGGTCCAACCCCAAAGAAAATGTTACTTGGGTATTTTCGATGTATGCAGCACATTCCCATGACATGTACGTGGTGTCTGACCTGAAGTTCTGAGGAACTTCCCCCAAATGAACCTCCTTCTTGAAAATAAAACTTACTATTTGTCTTCCTTCCATTTCCAGCTTGCGCTGTCCACTCAGAATCTTGTGGCCCACAGTTCCCTGCACGCAGTAGCCTGGCATGATGACCTGAGAAGGAACCCAGAAAAATCTACAACCTCTGCACGTGGCCTGTGCATAGCATAGCTGCTGTTAACACAGAAATAGCCATAAAGGCGTAACGCCGATGTCAGTTTGTGTCCTTCCCCTCTTGCATACCAGCCTTCACTGGAAAGCTGCTTGCTTTGTTCTGGGGCTTGCGTGGTGAACACCCAGCTCCAGGAAACACACGAAAATGAAATTAGAAAGCAAACTGCTGAAATCTACACACCGCTAAATAAGAATTAACGCTGGCTACAAAAGCCTTTGAAGCAGCTTCAAATTAACGAAAGCCCTTCTGAAAATAAAATCTCCCCCAACCTCCTGTCTGAGCCCTGTACCTCCTCTGCCTGCCCTGTCACACACCGCAAAGACAATTCAGAGCTCTGTGCTGGGTTGGTTCACCAGAGGCCTCGTGTCATTTAACCCCAGATGCTCAGGAAAAGCTCTCCTGCAACCTTTCTTCTTACGACTGTATCACTACCACACTCACATTAACACAAAACATCAAAGAAACAGAATTTCTCACCATGTTCTTTTCATTCCCTGCCCATTTCCTGAAGATCTGAAGGGACTGTCCTGCATGAAGCATGCCAGGGGTTGCAAACACAACCTAGAATTCAAAAATGTGCCAAGAATTACCACAGAAAACAAGGGGTTTTTTTCCATTACTTACTTACAATATATAAATACCTAGAATGTGGAGAGTATCCACAAATACACCTTACAGCAGGCTTACTACGTCAAAGCTCTAATGGGGATTTTTGCTATTTTATTTCCCCACCTTGTCTAATTTTCACATAAGTTGAACTACTATTTTAGGACATTTTTGTGAGCATCCATAATGTCTGATAAAAACTTTGAACAATTTTATAACGGTACTATCATGCTCACCAGATTCCTCTTTCAGCTACTGCCTAATAAACAGCCAGAAATAAAACCAGCAATAAGAGACTGTGTTGTAAAGGATGTGTCTCCCGACTTAAGTCAAGTCAAAAGAATACACGGTAGGAGTTACGGGTTGAATCAGGTCCAGAGTTATAGATTATATGAACATGCAATCAATTTTTTTATTTTTCTCTGGGCATTTTACCTTTACTGAAATAAAGACAGGAAGATCTTCAGTAGTTATACAGATAAAAAGTATTCAGGATGGCCTGGCCACAAAGGGAGTTAGGTGGGATGGCTGGTACTAGTGGGGTAGAGGGTGCTTAGCTGCTGCAGACTGCCCCTTTGCCTTAGCCAGGAACAGAGTGGCTTAAACCCAGCTCCCTGACACTGCACAGCTGCTCCATTACCTTGTTAATGACCACCTACCATAGGCCCCGGATTGTCTGCAAAGGCCCGATCAAATGCTTTGATGTGTTTGAATTCAAACATGTTCCTCTGCACAAATGTTTTCCGAATTTTCTGATTAGTCCAGGTGATGAAGAGCTTGTAATAATGATTGGCCTTCTCCGTCAGTCCCGTGGAAAAATAAATTGGAGCCTTCAAGTTCATTCTTTCCCTGTAGAAAGAAGCATTCCAGATACCTGTGAGGGCCAACTTCGGATCCTGGCTACCCACGTTGGAGTCCATAAACTTATGTAGTCTCCCAACGACTTGCTGTGCGTACCCTGCTCTCAGTGAGCTGTAAATCAGTAGCATGACAGTGCTGCAGCACTGTGCATTAACTCACTCCAAAGCAGGCTTTAGTCCAATTCACCTCCTCACCCATTACAGACAATTTCCTTCATTACAAATATTAATCATTCTGCTGTGGGAAATAATTAAAAGCAGTATCATTTGGTGTTATCAAAAATGTTTCTGCACAGTGCTTATACGTAAGGTTCATATTTGTTCATCCCTCCTCCCCCTCCCATGAAAGGGTTTTACAATGTGGCAAAAACGTAATCAAATTTTTTAAAGGACAGTTACTCCTGAGTGGAAGAGTGGAGTGGAGAATGACTCTGGGTAAGAAAATGGTTAGTTTACTGCTTAGAGTCCTGACATGCAGAGAAACACTCGTGAGAACACTGCTACTAAGCAGACATGAAAGAATCACAGAAACCTGCCAGCACCCACAGCATGAGGCGGACAAAAAGGAGGTGGTATGTGCACAGAAGAGACTGCACTCACCAGAAAGTTTCCAATAAAATGCAAAGCTCCTGGGCACGTCCAAGGGCAAAAACTGGGATGAGAACCTGTAACGGAGGTATGATAACAGTCTGAGAGACCCAAACAGCATGTGAACGGCCCTGCAGCATTGCCATTTCTTAACAAGCCCCTCAGTTCCCTCTCATGTTCTGATATTCTTTTGCCAAGCTGTCTTCCCATGGGAATGTGTCCTGCAGTTTTGGAATGAAAGGCACTGATAATTGGCGAGCACCTATCGGCTCGGCCAAGACCTCAGTTTGTACGGACTGAGGGAAGCCTCCGGCGGGGCATGGCACCTGTGGATACACTCAGTCCTGTTCTCTCCTAAGTAATGCGACAACAAGTTGTTGAGAGCAACAACTCTGGTATTATTTATGGAAATGGAGACTAAGATGAGCGTTTCTGCCCTTGATGGCTTTGTCTGTGCTGGGGTAACTGTGACCTTCCTCCCCTCCCACATTAAGGCAACACTGGGGGAAAGAACAGAAGAGCTGTTTCAGTTTCCAGTGTTTTCCTCAGTTCAGTACTGTCACTTAGCAGCAGAGAGTTTACCGCTCCTTATTTGTTTTCTGCATTCAGTGGGAAAGCCATCGTCATAGTCTGGTTTTCTTTTGGGCATAATTTAAGTGTTCAATATTCTGTTTTTTAAAATACAGTGAAGGAGTATAAAAATGCCTTCAGTTTTGTGTCATGGTCGGACATAGGTGCCTGAGTTAATTCATAGTTACCCAACCCTACAGAGCCAACGAGAGCTTCACAGAAGAAAAAACACATCGCTTAAGATTATCAAAATGCCGTACCTTCCCTCCCCTTTCTACAGTCTCATGAACTTTCTTCAAGAAGTCTCTTTCTCTGCAGCGTTTGGAATCTCTGATCGTTGTGGCATAGGTCGATTCACTTATTAATAAATCTGGGCGACACTTATCAATCCAGGCAGCACTAAACCAAAACGAATTTAAAAAACCCCATCAAATAAAGAGATGGTACCTGGCATTTCTGATCTGCAGGGCTCAAAGCTGGGTGGAGAATGTCACTGTCCCCATTTGCAGATAGGAAAACAGGCCCACAGATGTGCATCGGCTTGCCTAAAGTCACCTAGGAGTTCTGTGGCAGCATCAGGACTCTGCTCTTTGCAGGCCATGCTTTCTTTAAATTAATCCAGCCCAGAATAGAGACTACAGATTTTGAGAAGAAACTCTTCTCCAGTCTATTACTTGTTTTAAATGCATTAAAATATTGTTCTAAATAGCATGAATATTATAGATCTCTCATATATGCCAGTAAAAATAAAATGAACATTTAAGTTTGTGATCAGCAGTCTCTTAGAAAGTAAATACATTTAGAAGATACCGTGACAATAAAACATTTCAAACATCTAAGTGCGGTTATTATGTAGCGTTAAAAACAGATTAAAGAGTATACAGAAAAAGATTACATTAAGGTCTATCTGGAAAAATCAGTGTAAATCTGTTCATTTTCATAATGCAAAATCACATTTATCTTTCCAGCAAAGACACTGTTAAATGTTCCAGCCTCCTAACAAAGAATCACTGCTGATAAGCCCCTAACAGCAACAGAAGCTGTGCTAAAATCTTCCTGTCAGAAATACACACAGATCCTAGAAACTCCAGCTTCTACTTACCCTAAATGTCTGTCTGGTGTCATGTTATAATCGCCCTAATGGAAGAGGAGAAACCCGTTAATATTCTCAGTGTAATGGGAGAGGCCATTAAAAGGAGATGTAGGTATCTGTAAACATTGTTGTGCATGCTTACCGTGTACACAACTGACTCGCATCCAGCCTTAATCTGGAACATGGCTGCTCCTAGCACGTGGCCTGCATAGTATGCCTTGATTTCCAGCTCCTCATCCACCTGCACGAACAGGCAAATGCTGCATTAGTGCATACATTTAAAAAAAAATAAAATTGCTGTGCCTTCTACAACAATCCAGTTGGTCTGGTGCATGAGTATGCAGAAATTATCATTTACCTGAACTGTCTGGTGAAGATGCACAGCAACCACTTTTTTCATACAGTCTTTAATCATTTGGGAAGTGAAGAAGTTAGTTTCCCCTTTCTTATCCACAGTTATTTTCCTGTAGTCCTCCAGGAGGATGGGACAGATGGCCTTGGTAGGATGCGTCATGTAAATGGGCCCGTCATAACCGACCATTTCGCTGAAATATGGTAAAGCTCCACAATGGTCCAAATGAAAGTGGCTGCAAAAAGACACAAAGGATTGAGATGCTGCTGCACAGGAATTTAGCCTGCCTGGTTCTCAGGTCTTGTTTCAGCCAAAACACAAACGATGGACTTATGATTGCGTTGCTAGGGACAGTGTACAAAGCTTTCCCATTTGAGCTCTGACAAGGAAGGAAGCTTTCTCACCTGATGATCACGCAGTCTAGAAAGTCAGTCAGCCTTCCATTCTGAGTGATGTAAGAGAAGTCAGGAAAGCGTCTCTGCAAAGACAGGAAGAAACAGGCTATCCCCGAGGAAAGCAAGCCAGCTGATACTACATTACTAATCCAACAAAAGAATGGTGCCAACGACCTGAAACACTGGAACCCCGCTGTAACACACCTCCGGGCAAAACAGCAATCAGGCAGCAGACCACGCTAGCGTAAGCAATACGGTAAGAGCTGCAGGCAACACCACCAGCTTTTATGTGCAGGAAGAGTCAAAGAGAAAGCTGATGGGAGGGCTGCCAGAGGACAAACAGGAAAACTGACCTCGCAAATAAATCACAGCCAAGTTTAGACTAGATATAAGGAAGAAATTCTTTACACTGAGGGTGGTGAAACACTGGAACAGGTTGCCCAGAGAGGTGGTGGAGGCCCCATCCCTGGAAACATTCAAGACCAGGTTGGACGGGGCTGTGAGCAACCTGATCTAGTTAGTGGTGTCCCTGCTCCTGCAGAGGGGTTGGACTAGATGACTTCTAGGGGTCCCTTCCAACCCAAAACATTCTATGATTCTAAGTTTATCTTCAAAGTAAAACAGGTAACCAATGTGTTTCAGCTTACCCACAGGCATTAAGGCAGAAAGCCTCAAAACCTTCTCTGTAATAGCATGTTTGCTCTGTGTCACGCTTTAACTCTTCCTATCTCACAGGATTTTTGCCATTATTCCTTTCCTAGTATCAGGTGACCAAACGTCAGGAGTATTTCCTAGCTCTCTCTCTAAAGTATTAGAGATGCGTGGTGCAGATCCCACAAGTAATTAACTGCCCAAGCCCAAGCATCATGTCAAGAGGAGTCCCGCTGATGATGGGATTAACGCTTTAAAGCATAGAAGATACCTGCCCATGTGAAATATGGAAAGAACAAAACCACCAGGAAGGGAGCATTCACAGCTTCCTTAATATTGTTTGGAGTCCACAACCCAGGGAAAGGATGGCTGGATGGGG